CTTTAATGATAGGTTCCACATAAGATTGTTCTGAATTTTAAATTAATGAATACAAAGAAAACACTTAGAGTAGTACTGGGCTGGTAGTAAATACTCAATGTTCTTATTGCCATATCTCTTTTCCAAGTAGCAATAAATGACCTAACTTTCCTATTGGTTAACAACTTAGAAGTGTGTGGCACAGGCTTGTTGAAATCTTTATTGCATTCTTCTATCCCTGTAGCTCCAACTATTTTCCAGGTGACCCACATTAGGATTGTACAGAGTGAGCTCAGCCCTCATCCATGCACTGTGTATTTAAATATAAATAGTGCCCTGCCCCAATCTCCCTTTCTCCAGTTCTTTTCACGTTTCCTAATAGAGTTGAGTTTTGAGGGTATTTTTGGGGAGTGAATGTGATCTGATGAACATATTCAACTGATCTCTTATATGTGTGACCTCTCTTATATAGTTTGGCTGTTTCCCCACCAAATCTTATCTTAAATTGTAGCTTTCTTAGTTCCCATGTGTTGTGGGAGGGAGCCGATGAGAGATAATTGAATCACGGGGGTGTTTTCCCTCATACTGTTCTCGTGGTAGTGAGTAAGTCTCATGAGACCTGATGGTTTTATAAGATTTTACAAGGAGTTTCCCCTTTTGTTTGGCTCATATTCTTTCTTGCCTGCTGCCATGTAAGATGTGCCTTTTGTCTTCCTCCATGATTGTGAGACCTCTCCAGCCACGTTGAACTGTGAGTCCATTATACCTCTTCCTTTACGAATTACCCAGTCTTGGGTACGTCTTTATCAGCAGCATGAAAATAAGGTAATACACCTAGTCAATGGAGAGATTAAGGAGAATTTCTTTTTTATACTCAATGACATACTCTATTAATACAACCTAAAATTACATTGACTGTTTTGTTCTCTGCATTATACTGTTAATTAATTCTGAGTTTGTAATTAACCAAAGGCCCCAAAATTCACCCCCAACATTTGCTTAACAAAAGTTTATTCTTTCATTTATTGAATTATTGACTGCTTAGCATATTGCCCTATGCTGGCTTTGTAATTGACAGTAGATATGCTCCTTAAGGAGTTTAGAGTTTCCTGGGATGTCATACATGCAAACTGACTTGTAGTGAGTGTGACAGTGATAATTGTTATAATAGAGATGTGTAGAAACTGTATGACAACAAAAGGAAGGACACCTAATTCTCCCAGTAGGGGATGGGGGAAAATATGACAATAAAGATGGCAGGGGCAGAAGATGTCAGGGAAGTGCACATGGAAGGGAGAGTGTTTGTCATAAACTGTACGTAAAGATCCTAATGACTGAGAAAGTGGGGGAAAGAAGTCTTTAAAAAGGCTGGTAATACCTTTTTATAATGTAATGTAGCATCAAACAGCATCGACATTCTGGGAACTACTCCTATCTGAGAATGGCAGCAACCTAGAGAGCAGGCAGAGGAATTGGCAGGAGAGATGCTGAGCAGGTAGGCAGGTACAAGGTCCTGATGGGGTTTGCATGTCACAGTTGGAAATTAGTATTTACTCCTATAGGCAATAAGCCAACATGAAAGGAGTTTACATTAGAGAGGGACATGGTTAGATAGGTGTGCATTTAAAAAAATATGGGACTGGTAGCCTTTATAGTGTGATCTGTGAAGTAGAGGGAGCAAGAATACAGGTGGGATGGCTGATGGAGAGACAGTCCCTGTCACACAAGTGAATAAAAACCAAGAAATCATGACCAAAACAAGGCTATGGGAATGGAAAAGAAGGAAATTTTTTTTGAGAGATTTATTAAATAGCTATATTTTGAGCACTAAGACACTTTGAGCGGTGAGATCCTCGGACTTGATAAACAGCTACATGTGGCAGGAAATGGAAAAAGTTGAGGCTTATCCCCAGTTCTGAGTGACTGGTGGATAATGATGTCATTCCCACGATAAGAGATAACTGATTTGGGAGAAGCAAAGGGTTCTCTTTGGGACCACTTTTGGATACCTGTGGGACATCTAAGTGGAAATGTATAGCAGGCATTTGGCTTAGTATCAAGAACTCAGGAGAGAGAGGGTGTGTGTGTGTGTGTGTGTGTGTGTGTGTGTGTGTGTGTGTATAAATGGCCCTGGGAATCATTCATATATAGAAGATGGTTGAAACCTGATGCAGTAGATGAACCAGAAGAGGACTGAGAGCAAGCATGAGAATCCTAACGTGAAATAGAAGCATGGAGAAAGATAGCCCTAGAAAGGGATTTTGAGAGGGCATCAGTTGTAGGATTGGCTAAAAACTAAGAGAAAGTGATGCCATAGAATCTATGGCAGAGAGTCTATAATGCTTGAGAGAGACAGAGATATATATAGTACGTTTACTAATATTTTATATTGATATAGTATATTTACCAATATATATATACTTTATATATATCAAATTTGTATCTATATCAAATCTATATGAAATTTTACATTTTATAAATTATATTTATGTATGGTATATTTATTAATATTTTATATATACTTTATGTATGTATATCAAGTATGTATATTTACTAATGTTTTATTACTTTTTAAGCTTATAAAACATTTTCTAATATTTAAGTAGTGTTAAACTACTTCTAAATATTAGAAAGTGTGCTTTCGAGGAAGCAGAGTCCAGAGCAGGTGCCTGTCAGGATGGGTCACCTCTTTTTGGAGCAATCTGCTTGCTAGAGATGAGGGATGTGTGTCTTCCCACCATTTGGACCTAATTCTAGTAGATCCTAACTAGTCACATTCTGCTTGGGGTTTGTGGCGGCTTTCTTAGTTTGAATGGGGTGAAGATTTTCTCTTTGTTTTTCCTTCTCTTGCTTTTAGTTATTTTTCAGAGAACAGAATTCGGGTAGTAGAAATGACTTTTCTCTGTAGTATTTAAACAGAAGTCCCACAGTTCCTTTAAAAGTTGGAGCTAAGCAGAAAAACATTACCTATAACAACATTGTTTTTACTTTTAAATTGAACTCTGTTTTAGTTTTTCATGTATTTCTATTATGCGTTTCTTTAGACAGAAGTGAGGCTTATTTATCTTCATATCCCTAGGGCTTATCCCAGAGCTTGGCATATAGGAGTGCTCAATAAATGCTTATTTTTGTATTACTTGTTGGTGATTACACAGTTCCATTTTTGAAAGCTTTCTTGACTCTTCTTACCTTCCAACATCTCATGTCACTGAATTACACAAATTTGTCTTCTTTATCAATTCTGCTCTTTTTAACTGCCTAAAGTTCAGCATCTTTTCTTCCCCCAAGTGTTAAAGTGAATTGGGAATTTGTTTTTAGGCTGTATATATGCCACAATATTTGAGAGTTTCAACTGAAATAGAAGTAGGCCTAAGGAAATTGAAGTTGAGGCAAAAACCTGGCAGGAGGACCCTGCTACTCCTTTGTTTCTATTTCTCTTTGTTATCTTTCTCTTTTAAATTTTCATTATGAAAAATTTCAAACACATACTGCCTTATAGAATATAGTGTCACAAACCAGATTCTTTCTCCCTCCCTCCCTCCCTCCCTCCCTCCTTCCCTCCCTTCCTTCCTTCCTTCCTTCCTTCCTTCCTTCCTCTTTCTCTCTTTTTCTCTCTTTCTTTCTTTTGATGGTGGCACGCTCTGTTGCCCATGCTGAGTACAGTGGCATGATCTTGGCTCACTGCAACCTCTGCCTCCCAGGTTCAAGCAATTCTTCCTGCCTCAGCCTCTCAGGTAGCTGGAATTACAGACACCCACCACCACATCGAGCTAATTTTTGAATTTTTTAGTAGAGATGGGGTTTTGTCATGTTGGCTAGGCTGATCTTGAACTCCTGACCTCAGATGATCCACCTGCCTTGGCCTCCCAAAGTACTGGGATTACAGGCATGAGCCACTGAGCCTGGCCAAGTGTTTCCTTCTTACCTGTCAGGAACTTTGCCATGCATAGTTAGAGTCTTACTAACATACTTCTGTTCTACTGCAACAACAAATTCTTCCTTGCTGGTCAGAATTCATGTCAGAGTAAGTTATATTAATTCCTTGTCTACATTCTGGGAGACAGGATTAGCAGTAAGGAACTCATGGACACGAATGGATTTGCAGGTGATGACTGCATGAGAGGCTTCCTGGATCACGGCTCTATTCTCCCTCCCTGCCTATTTTGTGAACTGCATCAGAAATGAATTTATCCTACCTCTGCAGGAGGCCTATTACATGCTTCCAAAAAAGGAACTTTGGGACATTCAATGATTTAAGAAAGCCTACGCTGTGCTTTGATGTGGATAATCCCTTATTTGTTATTTTAAGCTTCTCAACAAAATATGAATTTTCTGGCTGCTGTTCTTTTTTTAGTGTTATTTTCAGTGGCTTTTGCTAGAGGATGAATAGGATTTAGTAGACCACACCTCTATTTTAGGTTCAGCTCTGTTCACTTTTTCAGAGCTCTAGAAATGTAGTGATCCTTATGATTGTGGCAGGAGGAAGGTAGTGGAACCAACAATGTTATTTGTTCATTTCCCCCATATGTACCGAAGTATTTCCTGTTTGATTGCCTGTAAGACTGTTTCCTTTTTCAGAGTTCTGCTATTTGTAGCTATCATAAAATAAGAAATGAAAAGAAACCTTTTAGAATAGAGGGAAAGTTTTACAGGAAAAGGCAATAAAAGGTCTGAATTCAACACCCCTATTTCTATACTCTGTATATAATACATTTGAGCAGTTTTCATCTTTGGTTTCTCTCTGCGCCATTTATATTCTACTTACGAAAACAAATTGGGTATTTCTTAGTTAATAAAAATCTGTTTTATCTAATAATTCACAAATGTGAATTTCTGGGTAGGAAGAAATCTATTTTTTTTTAAAGTTTATCATTTTGACTTTTGTTTTCTTAAAATCAGACCTATATTTTATATATGTTCTTAAAATATAAATGGATGGTTAAACTTATGAAGGTGAGCCATTGTATTGTTTCCTGGCTTTTTTTTTCTGAAGATGTGTCTTTTTTTTTTTTTTAATTCAGGGAATCAGCAGTCTCTTCAGTTCTTTAAAAGTGGTGCGTCTCTTGCGACTGGGCCGTGTTGCTAGGAAACTGGACCATTACCTGGAATATGGAGCAGCAGTCCTCGTGCTCCTGGTATGTGTGTTTGGCCTGGTGGCCCATTGGCTGGCCTGCATATGGTATAGCATCGGAGACTACGAGGTCATTGATGAAGTCACTAACACCATCCAAATAGACAGTTGGCTCTATCAGCTGGCCTTGAGCATTGGGACTCCATATCGCTACAATACCAGTGCAGGGATATGGGAAGGAGGACCCAGCAAGGATTCACTATATGTGTCCTCTCTCTACTTTACCATGACAAGCCTTACGACCATAGGATTTGGAAACATAGCTCCTACCACAGATGTGGAGAAGATGTTTTCGGTGGCTATGATGATGGTTGGCTGTAAGTATTTTAATTTTTTTCATTAAAAAATTATTCTTATTGACAATTTTCCTGGCTACAATCTCAGATAGGATTAAAATGAACTACTTTGTCTTCAGAAAGATATTTAATCCATCTTACATGCAATTGATTTTTTTAATCTACCTTAGAAAATAGAAATGCAAAATAATATATTTTACTCATCAGAACATATTAATGTGTGTACACAGCAGAGCTCTCTTGAAGGAACCAGGACCAGCATCCAGACAGGTGGCATTTGGCAGATTTTATAGGTTTTGCTGGTGATGTGTTAAATTACCCTCATAATTGCTCACGGACTTACCTCATCTTTAATGTTCTGATGTGAGATATATTTGATCTGATGTAAGATATATTGTTCATAATTATTCTAGTTAATACTGAATTCCTAAATTAAAGTTGACCTTAGGACACGCTTTTTGTATAGGTTTTTACAATTAAGACTAGTAGAAAGGCTTTATAAATCTAGTCTTCGTTATAGCCATTCTAGGTTGAATATATGGCTGTTTGAGAGAATGAAAGAATTGCTAAATATAAGGCCATTCAGCAATGAGAAGTGCCTAGGATTTAACACATATGCTTGAGTACCAAATTCTTGGTACTGACAAGACCATGTGCTCTGCACTCAGACTGTGACTGAATAGCATCAGAAGACCAGAGCATAAAGGAAATACATACCAAAGAAGCTGCTTTTGAAGATCTTGAGGGAGACTTCACTATCATTCATGCCTTCAAGTTGACTTAGATGACTTATCTAGGCCTAGTTCTGGTACCTAGAGTAACCTTAAGAAGATTGTACTGAAGGTGTGATTAGCATTATTAGCACCTCTTAAGCCTTTGGATCATGGTGTTTTTTTGCTTGTTTGTTTAAGCTGTCTTTTCTGAGATTCCACCTTACAGAGGCTTAGATTTTGACATTGGTGGTAAAAGTTCTTGTAGTCCAGGGACATTGGCTGGGCCATGAAAGGTTAATATCTTGGGTCTAAGCAGGTGGTTTCCATAGTAGCATGTCTGAAAGCTATTGGAGCATCAGTTTTGGCAGTTGTTTAGCTTCTGTTTGTCTAATACACCCTTGTATAGGTATGGGAATGAGAACACACAGGCTCTATTTGCTGGTTAGAGTTTGCAGTCAGAGGGAGAGTGAGAATTCCAAGTGCTATTTGCTCCAGAGGCTTTCAGCAGGAAAATGTCTTTACACACAGAGAGAGATCCTGATGATTAGATAAACTGATACCTACATGTCCAAAATGGTAAGATGTATGGGCAAAAATGTACTTTATAAATTCAGAAGACAGCATTTTGTCAGATGCTGTATTCAGTACCATACTACTTTTAATATCTGTACAATGCATTTTGCCTTATACTTGTGCATAGTTAGATTTAAAAAAAATTCTTTTTGCTTTGAAGTGATTATAGATTCATTGGAAGTTGCAAAAAAGTATGGAAAGGGCCTTTGTTCCCTTTACCTAGTTTCCTCTAATAATTACATCTTATATAACTATTACTCAATATCAAAATTGACATTGATACAGTGTATATATATATATATATATATATATATATATATATAGTTCTGTGTTGTTTGATCACATGTGCAGATTTCTTTAATTACAACTGCAATCAAGATACAGAACTGTTCCTTTACCACAAAGCTCTCTCTCAAATGTAATCTACTCATTTCCCCCAACTATCCCTATTTCCTAAAAACCACTAATCTGCTCTCCATCTCTATAATTTTGTGATTTTTGAGTATGTTATATAAGTTGAATTATGTAAAATGTAACCTTTTGAAATGAACTTTCTCCATTCAGCATAATGCCCCTGAGATAATTAATTTGTTTTATTGTCGAGTAGTACTTCATGGTTAGGATATACCACTGTTTAATTCACTATCTATTGAAGGACATTGTATTTGTTTCCAGTTTTTGGCTACTACAAATAAAGCTGCTATGTTAATACCTAGCTGATGGGTTGATATGTGCAGCAAACCACCATGGTACATATTTACCCGTGTAACAAACCCACCCATCCTGCACATGTACCCCAGAACTGAAAATAAAAAACAAAACAAAACACAAACAAACAAAAAAAACAAAGCTTCTACGAACATTTATGTATAGGTTTTTAATATGGACATTAGTTCTTAGTTCTCTGGGATAAATACCTAGGAATGTAATTACTGGGACATGTGATAAGTGTATGTTCAATTTCTAAAGAAATTGCCAACTATTTTACAGAGTGGATATACTAGCATAGTTATATGTTTCATAAGAGAATTGTAGGAAAATAAAATCTGTGTAGAGTCAAAGGACACAATTATTTACTTTGTTTCTCAGGCCCTGAAGTTGGGAATCATCCTAGATTTCCCTGTTATTCCATGTTACATCTATTAATAGCAAAGCCTGTTGGGTTTACCTTCAAAATACATTTGATTATTTCTTTCTCCTTCCGTAGATCACCATCCAAGACCAAGTCACCATTATCTCTGGCCTGAACTTTTGAAGTAACCTTCTATATCTTCCTTCTTTTCTAATGCTTGCCCTACAACCTATACTCAAAAGCCTGAGTGCCCCTTTAAAAGCAAATCAGATCATACCATTCCTCTGCTCAAATCCCCCCAGTGTGTGTGAAATAAAGTCCAGATTCCCTAGCTCGTCTTTCAAGACCTTCCTGATATGGCTCTGCTTGCCTCACTTCACTTTCTACCATTCTGTCTTTGCTTATTCTCCTAAATCCATGCTTGCCATCTTATTGTCTCTGAAAACTTCAGGCTTAGGCCTGTCTCAGTTTGTGTACTTGCTTTTCCACTGCTTATAACATTCCTCTCCTGACTTATGCCCCAAATTAATGTGGCTTTCGACGAATCTCCTCTGCAGAAATTCCTTCCAGTGCTACCCTACTATAAAATACCACCCCAATGCCAACCTGTGTTCTCTACTCTTTAACCTTTTCCTTCATTGTTCCTACCAAGATCTGAATCCATGTGTACTTGGTTTTTCTTTTCCTTCAGAACATAAGCTCCACGTTCTGAAGCCTTTGTCCATTTCTTGTATTGGATCCCCAATATCTAAACAATTCCTAAGAGTTTTGTGCTCAATCTTAATTTGTCATATGAATGAGTGGAATTGAAGATGTCCCTGATTTTTGTAATGAAGATCTCCTGTCCCTGAATCCATCCCAGTTAGGTCTCTGATGAAGTACATGCCAGCAAAATGCATGATATTAGAGCTTTGACCCCGATTCCTTTGTGAAAGCCCTCGTAAGCTCACCTGAATTGCTTTCCTTTGGGGGTGTAGTCGTTCCTTTAGCTGAGTTGCTAAGCCTGTGTCTCATAGTCCTGTTAATATAAGTTCTAAGAAGCAAGTCACTGCAAGCTCCAATAAACTGCTCTCTCACTGCTTCTTACTATCTACCTTCTGAATCTACCTGCGGTGGAAATTTTCACATATATTCAGTTGGGTTTCTGAAACTTTATTTGGTTCAGAGTTGGTTCCATTCCTTCTCTCCTTCACGAAAGGCCAATTATACTTGCTAGATCTAAATTTCCATTTCTCCTCATCTCTTCCTTTTCTAAAGTTTCTGTTTTGATTTAAAGATAAAAAACTAGTTTTAAAGTTGGTTGTTTTCTTCTCTGAGTTTCGGCTATTTCCTTTGAATACTGAGTAGCAGTTTTCTGTTTACCAATTTCTGACATCTTCTTGCCTTTTGACTTAGGTTTTCCTTTTATGCTTCTGAATAAGTCCAGTTTCTATAGCCCCAGTATTCCAGGGAAATACTTTAAATTTTCTTTTTAGTCCTTGGGTCCTTGGTAATTTCATGGGATATTTCCTTTGAAACAACCTGAGAAGATGATAAAAAACTGTCTAGATTCATGAAGAGTTATAGTACCTTTGCACAATTCCAAAATTCGTTAGACCCACATGCACAAAACATCAACCAAATTTGGATATTGTAGCTCTTTGTAATTATAGTATCATTTTTTCCTACAAGAACACCAAAGAAAACAAACAAATGAAAACAAACCACCTGCGTTCTTAGAAACCAATATGTGCTAGCAGCCATGGCCAGGGATTTAGCGTGTGTGTGTGTGTGTGTGTGTGTGTGTGTGTGTGTGGTGGGGAAGGAAGGATAGGGAGGAGGGAGGTAGAAAATGGAAAAATTCATTTTTTTCACTTGTGCCCGGATTCTAGTCAGTCTGTGATGTGTATCTGAGAAGCACCACTTGTAACCTTATGACTCAAAAACAGAAAAATAAAGGTTGATGGAGACACCAACTGCCTATATTCTGTTGAGAAAAATAATCACTGTTTGCAAATGATAAACTGTTTTTCTGGAGAAAGTCATCCAAAATATATATGCCTTTCAGCAAAATTTACAAGTATGAGTATTGCAGCAATTCCAATTCCTAGGTCCTTATGAGCCCTCCTTTTGATGGCCTTTCCTTCCCTAGGCTCTTGCTACCCTAATGTTAAGTTGGATAGGGACTCTGTCTAGGAATACAGTCTCAAAGTTTTCCTTGTTGATATATCAGACAGATCTTCAAAAAATAGTATTGGCCTTCCCCTAATCCCACCCAACTGAAATTCCTTCCAGATCCCTCCTACGTCAGCAGGATCACAGGATATTTTTCTTACCTGCTACCTAGGAATTTCTTAGACTTAAATCCTTTGTTCCTACATTTGCCCAACATGGGAAATCTTCCTGCTCAGATTTCTGAATTTGGAAGGGTTGCCTGATGCTTCTGTACATACATCTACCATCATGCATTCTTTACCTTAAATTTGTCTTCTCTTGGTTTTGTTATGCTCTCTCTGCCTTGAGTGACCTCCACTGTTCTGGTAGCAGCCATTATTCCCCAAGGGTAGTCAGGTCCTCCTCATTCCTCTGTGTTTGTCCATTCATGAATGAATCCAGCTACTCTGCTGTTATTCACAAAATTCACTATCAAAGGGCTTTTGTAAGAGAATATTTTTGCAGTTTAG